AAACCTCCAGAAAAATTGAGTTATGGAGGTTTCAGAGGAAAAACCTTCAAGTTAGAGTGGTATGTTGTAACAAGATTGTGCTTAATTACAGGTACAGGTGAACCTTGATGCTAAGTCAAACCTCCCTAAGTCAAATACCTCCCTAACTTGAATTTTTTTCAAGTCCCTGTCTGGATTCCCATAGAAACAATGTATTAAAAACCTCCCTAACTCAAAATGCGTTTATCTCAAACCTCTGTAAGTTGAATTTTCTAATGCCTTTTGGTTATTATTTTCTTGAAATATTGCAGATAAAATCAACAAAATACATTATTTTATGCATTTTGAAATAAAGTGAAGGAATAATTGAACAAATGAACCCCTGCCTACAAGTTCAGCAAACTTCAAACTCATTAAGAAGCAAGTTTAGGCCCAGAATATCCCCATCTACAATTTCCTATTTTCCTTATAACAGAAATATTTGTTTTCTTTACCCCAAATCTCAAAAAATTTAAACCTCCCTAAGTTGAATTTTTTTTCTGGTCCCTAGAAATTCGACTTAGAGAGGTTCAACTGTATAACAAACTTCCAGGTACCCTCAAAATGCTTGATGAACCAGAAATGTGTCATGCAGTACCTGTATTAATGTACTGTACTGTGTTTTTATTATTGTTTTTGATAATTTTGATGGAATAATCATCTTTGATGAAATCAGGGATATAAGTCTTCAAGTTTTAGTGTTTGTGGTCCTTCCAGGCTTAATGTACTTGGAAACATACTGTACAACTAAAGCATAAACCATTTTTTCTACCTGGAACATATATTAATTTTAACTGACCATTTATTATATCAAGGCTTTACTGATGACCTTGTGACTGTACTACAGTTGCCCAAACATTTTTTCTTTCTAATCCAAAATTTAGAACAATTGTATTTTATGTAGCAAGAGTACATTTTTCATACAAAGACAAATTGAGGGGATTTGGGTTGGGTGGGGAGGGGGTTTGGATGCAGGAGTCTTGGTTGTGTCTTGTGAACGCTGAAAAGTGGCAAATAAAGTGTTCTGTTCATTCATTCATTCATTCATATAAAGACCAAGTAAATATTGTCTAACAATCTTGTTTAAAAAAAAACTCATGTGCATGGAAAAAATACAGTATTTCTCACCACAAGAATTTCTTCTCGGTCAAATTCTCTTCAGGGTGCTTCAGATTTATTCAAAGTATCTTTCCTGTGGAACAACGTCAACAAGGACGCTAGCAGCATGTTTGTCGGTGTGAGCCCGGAATTTGAAGTTGCCCTCTACACGGTTTGTTACTACGCCAGGCCCAACAAACGCTGTCCCATGCGTGTCAATGGGAAAACGTTCGACGTCAAGACGTTTCAGCAACTGGATTCTGCCAAAAATGAAACTTATCTCGGTTCTGCTTTTGCCCAGTTTTGATCCAATGTGTCCCGAATTCAGAGATGCATGCATTTTCAAACCGTTTGAAAACAAACGCGGCGAGGTTAATATTTGCAATTTTTTGTTTTTGCAACCGCGATGAAAACATTCCGAGGAGGAATAAAAATCATGGTTTAATTGGCGTGCTTTTTTAGAATTATTTTTGAATTCTGCAGAATGAGGTAAAATGTTGGCTAGAACAAAGATAATGTGAGAAAAAGAGATGTCGAATAGACAAACTCACAAAGCTGAAAAATGCGGTATAGAATGGATTGACAGTTAGAAAAAAGAAGTGATTGAATTGAAGACGAGAGTTGAAGTTCCTTTTCGCGAGAACGAAGAGTTAGATGTATAAATATGAGCTAGGTAAATCAGCTGGGACAAAGTCCGAGTTTGAATGAGTTATATTTCGTTTGATGATAAACACTTGGTCAGAATTTCGGAATTCGGAGTTTTTGCGAGACGAAAAAGCTTGCCCAACAAACGCTGTCCCATGCGTGTCAATGGGAAAACGTTCGACGTCAAGACGTTTCAGCAACTGGATTCTGCCAAAAATGAAACTTATCTCGGTTCTGCTTTTGCCCAGTTTTGATCCAATGTGTCCCGAATTCAGAGATGCATGCATTTTCAAACCGTTTGAAAACAAACGCGGCGAGGTTAATATTTGCAATTTTTGTTTTTGCAACCGCGATGAAAACATTCCGAGGAGGAATAAAAATCATGGTTTAGTTGGCGTGCTTTTTTAGAATTATTTTTGAATTTTGCAGAATGAGGTAAAATGTTGGCTAGTACAAAGATAATCTAGAAATGTAAAAAATCTTGAACCCATGAATCATTATTGTCCAGCTTGTCGTCATTTTTAAAATTCTGTCATTTCTGGACATGGTCAGACGAATCCTTTTGAAAAGGTTGGTCCCATCTCATTTTTTAGTTTGTATATAAAACAGGCCGAGACAAAAATACCCTGGAATTACAATTTAAACATGATTGCTTTGCATATAAATAGGAATACACATACTGCCGCCCATTTATTGCATAATGAACTTTTTGTGAAATTGTAATTTTTTGACATGGTCAGACGAATCAAATTTCGGTCCCATCTCATCGTCTTCCATCTTGAAAATATAGGCCAAGACATAAATAGTACTGTGACGTGGTATTCCAATTTAGATATGCTTGCTTTGCAAATATGAGGGTTGGTTAATACGTTTTGAGACTTTTTGAAATAGATCCAAAGTACTGTTTAGGTGATTGAATTTATGGCGTGAAAAATGCATTGGAATCGTCAATGAGTATGTTGAACATCACTGACAATTTTCAGAATGAAAATCACATTTTTTGGGAATTTTTGAAAGTTTGTTGGATCTACGGTATTCAAGAAATTCTCAAAAACTTTTGAACCAATCCTAGCATTCCCGTTTTTATGAGACACAGTTCTCTTTTTTTTTCGTTGAATTATTCGGTTAAGTCCCATAAAATCTTTCAATCTTATTGAAAATTATCAGTATGGAGAAATATTAATGTCCTGAATTCAAATTGGACTCTCGAAATGCCCATAACTTTGCGGAACGATTCATAATTTCCCCTGGAGGGATTATCATTCCCCAGCCTTCACCAGGTTCTGCATTTAATCACATTTAATCCTCTGAAAATTTCCACCCGCTAACAATTTTCGTTTAACAATGGGTATGAACCTTACCAAAACACAGCGAGCAGCTTTAAAAACATCATGGCCCAAAGTGAAGCCCAATGCGACTAAAGCCGGTGTTCAAGCTTTTGTCAAGTCCGTTTTATTTCCTGCTGATTAAATTGTTGCGAAAATAATATGACCAGTAAACTTCCTGCCATTCAATCTACGAAATAAAGTACTTTTTTCAGAGTGTCTCGGTGAAAGATTTCAAGTCCTCCGAAAAGGCTTTCAATGACAATTTTGCCTGAATCTTAAAAAAAATAAATGCTGATCTCAATATAAATAAACTTTCCATTGTAAATTACTAAAAAAATACTGAGGAAAATTATTTTTGAACTTTCTTTGTTCGTTTGCTTTTTGAAGTGTGTTTTTAAATTGAATTGAATTTTTGAATTTTTTAAGTGCCTCGTTTGCAGTTTTAGCTCATTTCTGTGACACACATGCGCATTTGAGTCGAACATAATTGCTGGAGGACATTTTACCTTGTGGTTATTTTTTCAAAAATAAAGTTGTATAATGGGTCAGTTCATAAGTTTCACCAGTTACACATGGCTTAAAACTACATGTGTAATGTTTGAAGTGTCTCATTTTTCATGCTGAATGTTGAATAATTTGAGATACAAACTTGAATTTAAATCAGTCCATCATTTCTTGGTTCTCCCGTGAAATAAATTTTTTTTCAACGGGTCTTTGTTCTTTTACACTTTGAATTTCGTTTTGATTTTTTTAATGCCTTGCTCGCAATTTCAACTCATTTCTGTGAGACAAAAGCGCATTTGAATTGAGCGTAACTGGAGGAAATTTTGTCATGTGCATATTTAAAATGAAGTTTTTTTCAAGAAGGGTCTGTTCAAAAGTTCCAGCAGTTACTAATGAATTGAAACTACTTGCAAAACGTTAAAAGTATCAGATTATTTATGCCGTAGGTACAATAATTTGAGATACAATAGAATAATTTGTAACAATTTTCCAAGTTCCTTGGTGAAAGTCCCACCCCATGAATAAATTTGCTAATCTTGATGCTCGCGCTGAATAATTCTTGTTTGATTTGCTTTAAAGAAAAGATTCATTACAGGTTGTTTGACAAGCATCCCAAGTACAAGGACAAGTTTTACAAATTAAAAGACATCCCCAATGATCAGTTGCCGACCAACAAAGCCCTCGCCTGTCACTCACTCATGTTCACTCGCGCCATTGAGACTATGGTTGAGAATGTCGACGACAAGGACATGATGGAAGAGATTTTGCTGAGATTGGCATACAGACATATTCGACTGGACCTTTGTGACAAAGACCTGCAGGTGAAAATTCACTTGAGTTTGGAGAGGGAATTCCGCAAAAAGCTGCGGCAAATCATCCGTATTTTTAAGCTGGATTAACATATATATTTTTTATGACATTCTTCACGCTTCAAAAGTTCAATAGGAGTACTTCTTAGAATGGATGCCTTTTTGCATCATCAATTCACCTGCTAGGAAAGCACTTTTTACGTGAGTCACTTTTAGTCAATAACAAGTTTTAAAGCAAAATTAGATAATTTTGTGGTCAGCGACTCATTGTAAATTGTATACAGTATTCTTGTGTGTGTGATGAGAGAAAATTTTCATTATGAATCAACAGTAAATAGCTGAAATTGATTTGATCAAGGATCACAGAAGAAAGAAATAAAAACACAGGCAATCACTCTTTTGAGGCAAAGAACACATATTCAAGGGGTCACCTTGAATGTATGTTCCTAGTTTTGAAATTATTTTTATTCAGATATTTTCAACAACAAAAAATCAAGAATGAAATGAATTCCATAGAATGAAATCACACACAAAAATAAATACAATCACCAGATCAGATCAAGCAAATATGCACACATCACAGATTTGTGCATGAATCAGTTGGTAAGAATAAAGGAGATGATTGTTGGTGATTTGCAAGCATTTTGAGGAACTCCCTCCTATTTTTTGGAAAACTATGAAATTTGGATTATGATGAGTGTTTTGATGTGTGGCTTTTATTCTCCTTAGCGAGTGAGTGACCTTTTCATTGACCAACTGGACAAAAGTGAACATCAAATCTGGAAGCAAGCTTTTCACAAGCTGAATCCACAGATTGGAATCTTTTTGGACAGCCTGAAGCGAGAAGGTCATGTTTGATATTCTTGTGGTGTTACTTCTTTCCTTTCAATATCATGTAATTTTGGCAACTAGAGGGGAATGAAATATAAAATGGAATCTGTGGATGGTTTTTAATTGAAAATACCACAAACTTTCCGAATTTAAGGTAAACCAAAGTGCAAGAGTATTTAAGCAGCTCCCAAGCTAAATTTTGAGTTTAAGCCAAAGGGAGAAAATGGGACAACAGGCAACTGTACCAGTTTTAGTGAGACTGATGATCTATTCACAATTCAACACACTTTCTATACACTGAACAACAGGCATGAAAACATACAGGCAATTTCAACAATAAAACAACTCCTGGATACCAGGAANAAATGGAATCTGTGGATGGTTTTTAATAGAAAATACCACAAACTTTTTGAATTTAAGGTAAACCAAAGTGCAAGAGTATTTAAGCAGCTCCCAAGCTAAATTTTGAGTTTAAGCCAAAGGGAGAAAAAGGGACAACAGGCAACTGTACCAGTTTTAGTGAGACTGATGATCTATTCACAATTCAACACACTTTCTATACACTGAACAACAGGCATGAAAACATACAGGCAATTTCAACAATAAAACAACTCCTGGATACCAGGAAAATTTCCAAGGATACATTTGTACAATTGCGTAATTTGCAAGTCAAACTTCCAAAGCAAATATCTTGCTCAATTTTTAAGACAACAAATTGTAGATTTTGACGTTGAATACAAATTTGGTATTGACAAAAATATTGATACATGCATAGTTTTTGAGATCTCTCAATTCCCGCAAAATCACTTTTCTGCCAAGTTGCTTTGCTGATAAAATAGGCACACATTGGTGACCTGATAAAATTACAAAAACCAGGTGCAGCAAATAAAAATAGTCCTCCCACTTTCTGAGTTATTTGAGTAACAGAATTTTTGCATTGAAAAGTTTGAAAAAATGACATAATATTTGTGATCTTCCGGACCTCCAACTGCCGGATGAATTATATGAAAATATGCTGACATTGTAAATTATATTTTTATTGTTCAGTGCCCTGGATGAACTTTTACTCAAAAGATGTCTTTATGTAATGAAATTTTACTGTTAAAAAAAATCGAATTAATCTTCAAAAGAAAATTAGCTTGAAGAATTAGCTTTAGATTATTTGAAATCAAATTGATTGCTGTAAAATATTATCCTTGCTGAAGGAAGAAAAATTTGCAATCAGAATTCAGAATTAAGAAAAAAAACGTCAAGGGAGTTTTTTTCCTTTTTTTAACCTCAGATCTCACATTTTCAGATAATTGTCACATTAAAAGAAAAAAATGTAGATTGTCTCCTTGACTCGACTTCGATGTCAATATAACTCAAAGTTTCTCAAAATAATAAAAATTTCCAAACAGAAACGTTTAGAGAAAAATTCATTTACAGCATATTTCTTCGATTTTGATTTAATGAATTGGCAATAGATTTGAATATTTATCAATTTCCAACGATTCAAAAATGAAGTTTGCCCATTTCAGGTAAGAATTGAATTTCATGTTGAGCGTAAAACAATTTTGATTTCTTTCTGAAATTAAATTTCAGAACATCCGAATATTTTCACAACGTTTATTTTCACGCCATTTTCAAGATCATGATTCATTTCAATCAATGTTCAATAATGGGAATTATATACCGGCCTTCTCCAATTCCTTCATGTACTTTCCAACAGTCGGATTCATCTTGTCGAACGCAGTTTTCCAGACCTTAGTGTCCACACCCGAACCCATTTTGTCAATAAAAATATCCGTGGCAACCTGTTGAAAAAAATTAAGACACGTTCATATATTATCAGGAAATTTAGATAAACGTCGCAATGTCAAACCTTCAGATCCTTTTCATTAATGTTGAGTCGTCTGTGCCTGTATGCTAATCTGTGGCACACTTCGTCGATCATTTGAGTGTCCTCGATATTTTCAGCCATGGCTCCAACGGCCCGAGTGAACATGAGAGAATGGCAATGAAGGGCCTTGTTTGAATTGAGCTTGTCGTTTGAAACATCCTTGATCCTCCAGAACTTGGCCTTGTACTTGGGATTGTCCTTGAAAAGCCTGTCAAAATAATTTCCCTTGAAATTTCTTATTTTTCTAAAATTTTAAAAGCTTGATATCCTACTTCACGAATGTTTCAATTCCGGTTTTTTGAGCATTGGGTTTGATTGCAGCCCAGGATTTCTTCAAGGCAGCTTGTTCTGCTGAGCTCAAGGCATTACCCATTTTCTTAATTGATTATTTAATGAATAGAAAAAAAAATAATTGAAAATTTTTTCTTCTTCGAAAAGGATTTTAAATCCTTATTAGACTGAAGTCGTATTGGAACACTTCTGAACAGTCTTAAGGAGATACGGAAGAGTAATCGAGAGATGGTATAAATTGTTAAATTGGCGTTATTGTCAATAATTTGGCGAATCTCTGATCTCTACTATTCCCAGAATTTAACCTTGAAGCGTTTTTTCTCTGTCTTTATGTGCCCATAAAAAATGGC